CCCTGAGATCTTTTTTTAAAAGACAAACTTGAACAATGGGGTACCTGCATGACTCAGCTGGTTAAGAGTCTGACTCGATTTTGGCTCAGGTCATGATCTCAGGGTCCTGGGATATAGCCCCACATCTGGGTTTAGTGGTGAGTCTGCTTGAGGATTCTTTCTCTGTCTCCCTCTGTCTGCCCTCCTCTTCATAAATGCACACATACTCACTCTTTAAAGAAATAATTTTTTTTTAAAAAAAGGATAAATTTGAACAAGCTTGTTTATAATCGTTTCTTCCAAAAACTAAAAAGCCAGATTGGAAAAAAAAAAAAAAACAAAAAACCCACAATCAAAACAAGAAAGAAATCAGGAAAAATGGATGATCTTATAAGAGAAGAAAAATATTACTCAAAAAAACCTATAAATAGGGGCACCTAGGTGGCTCAATGGTTGATCATCTGCCTTTGGCTCAGGTCGTGATCCCAGGGTCCTGGAATCCCACATTGGCCTCCCTGTGGGGAGTCTGCTTTTCCCTCTGCCTATGACTCTGCTTCTATCTCTCATGAATAAATAAAATATTTTTTAAAAACTGTAAATAAAAAGTCCAAAGGGATTTAGACCAATTATCCAAAATAACAAGAGAATTTAAAGATAATCAGTCACAGGTCTATGCATAAATATTAGCTGTATTTCTATATACACCATCAAGTTAGAAAGCATAATTTAAAAAACATTTAGCACCTCTACCAAACACACACACCCCATAAAACTGTAAAGTACTTAACACCAGATAAATAAAATAGATGAATAAAATAACTGTAATCATTACATACAGTCATTTGTTGCTGCATAACAAATTCCCCCACAATTGAAGGGACTAAAACCATTTGATTTTGCTAATGATTGTGTAGTTCATGTACTAAAGACATCCTCACTTGGGGTCTCCCATGTGGTTGAGTCAGGCACCCATTGAGGCTACAGTCATCTGAAAGCTCACCTACACTAGATGTCTGAGATGACTCACTCATGTGGCTAGCACTTGAGGCTGCAAGTTCCTGAGATCTCAGTTGTGGCTGTGGCTATTTTCCACAAAGGGGTCTCAGAATAGTTGGACACTTCACATGATGGCAGAGTTCCCCCAGAACAAGCATGCTCAGAAAACTAGTGGAGGCTATCTGACCTTTCTGACTTGGCCTCAGAAATCAGGCAGTATTATTTCTGCCTCAACCCAGATTCAACAGGAAGGGAATCATGCTCTACCTGTTGGTGGGGAAGTAGTAAGGTCATACTGTAGAATACCAATTAGGATGGAAATATTTCGTGGTATCTTTAAAAATCTACCACAATCGGTATGCAGAATATTAAAAAAGACAAAAGTGCAAGAATATTCCATATTCATAGATAGGAAAACTGGACAATGTAAACATGTCGATTTTCTCTAAATACATGTATAAATCCAATACAATTCCCAACAAGACTATATGGACTTTGACAAGCAGATCTAAATTTCATATGGAAGAGTAAAGAGCCAAGTATAGCCAAAACACTCCTGGAAAGGAAGAATAAGATGGAAGCACTGTCCTACCAGATATCAAGCTTTATCATAAGGCTGTCTTAATTAAGATAGTGTGGAACTTGATGGAGAAATAGACAAACTGACTAGTGGAATAGAAAGACCAGAGATATGGAATTGTGATATGTAAATAGCACTGTAGAAATCAGTTAATAGTAAGAGACAACTGGTTTTCTGAATGGAATAAAGGAAATTGTATTTGTATGTACTTCATCTGAAATCTAATCAATTTCAGATGGACTAAAGACTTAACTGTTTAAAACAAAACATTTAAAACATTCAATAAAAAATATAGGAAAATATCTTCTTGATCTTAGGATAGGGAGCATTCCTTGAATATGACATCCAAAGCATGACCATAAAACAAAAGATTGACAAATTAGACTATGTTTAAATTAAAAACTCCTTTCAAAAAAAAAAACTCCTTTCAACAAAGATGCTATAATGAAAGTGAAAAGATAGGTTTTTTTCTTCTATATATTTTTTTATTGAAGTTCGATTTGCCAACATATAACACCCAGTGCTCATCCCGTCAAGTGCCCCCTTCAGTGCCCGTCACCCAGTCACCCCATCCCCCTTCCCACCCACCCCCCTTCCACTCACTACCCCTTGTTCATTTCCCAGAGTTAGGAGACTCATGTTTTGTCACCCTCTCTAATTTTTCCCACTCATTTTCCCTCCTTTCCCCCATAATCCCTTTCACTATTTCTTATATTCCCCGTATGAGTGAAAGCATATAATGATTATACTTCTCTGACTGACTTACTTCACTCAGCATAATACCCTCCAGTTCCATCCATGTTGAAGCAAATGGTGGGTATTCATTGTTTCTAATGGCTTAGTAATATTCCATTGTGTGTGTGTGTGTGTGTGTGTGTGTGTATACATATATACACACCACATCTTCTTTATCCGTTCATCTGTTGATGGCCATCAAGGCTCCTTCCACAGTTTGGCTATTGTGGACACTTGCTATAAACATTGGGATGCAGATGTCCCAGCTTTTCACTGTATCTGTATCTTTGGCGTAAATACCCAGTAGTGAATTGCTGGGTCATAGGGTGGCTCTATTTTTAACTCTTTGAGTAACTCTCCACACGGTTTTCCAGAGTGGCTATACCAGTTCACATTCCCACCAACAGTGCAAGAGGGTTGGTTCCCCTTTCTCCACATCCTCTCCAACATTAGTTATTTCCCGTCTTGTTAATTTTCACCATTCTCACTGGTGTGAGGTGGTATCTCATTGTGTTTTGATTTGTCTTTCCCTGATAGCAAGCAATGCAGACCATTTTCTCATGTGCTTGTTGGCCATATATATGTATGTCTTCTTTGATGAAATTTCTGTTCATGTTTTTTGCCCATTTCATGATTGGATTGTTTGTTTCTTAGATGTTGAGTTTACTAAGTTCTTTATAGATCTTGGATATTAGCCCTTTATTTTATTTTTTAAAAAGATTTTATTTATTTATTAGAGACAGAGAGAGAGAGAGAGAGAGAGAGAGAGGCAGAGAGAGAAGCAGGCTCCATGCAGGGAGCCTGATGTGGGACTCGATCCCAGTTCTCCAGGATCAGGCCCTGGGCTGAAAGTGGTGCTAAACCGCTAAGCCACTGGGGCTGCCCCTGATATTAGCCCTTTATAAGACAGTTCTTATTACATATCTCTAATAATAAATCTAGAAAACCTATTGTAACTGTTCACGAAACTGTTCAAAAAAAAGTTTTACACAAATTAGCAAAGACCTAGCCTACACACATAATTCAGGGAATATATGAATAAAACTAAGTAAACACCTAAAAACAGTTTCAATCCCTCCTAATAGTATACATAAATCTTTTGTGCCAGATGGAGATCAATAATGTAAATATATATATACTTTAATCAGTAAACAAACACTTTGACCATAAGCACTGTCTCAAGAAAATAAGTGATTTTTACTGACATATTGAACAGTGAAGAAGTAAGAAATCCTAGTTATAATAATCTCATTGACATTTACATGCTTAATAACATTCAATAAACAATCTTGCTGAACAACAGGTACTGTGGGATACACAAATAGCAAAGACACAATCCCTGATCTTCAGGTCTATAATCTAGTTAGCAAGCAGTAAAATACATATATGGAGAGGCAAGTCTAATTTCTATTAGACCTCAAGTCAATCTGTTTTTTTCTATCTCCAATATCTTTGTAATCTCTCCTGAACAATCTCTTGCATTCATTTCACTCTATCCTAATCTATTCACTATACCGCAGCTATAGAAGCCTTTTTGAAATGCAAGAAGACCAGAGATGCATTCTTTGGAGAAACAAACCATAGATTCAGAAACCAGGCGCAGGGCTAAAAGAGATTTATGTGAAAGCCTCTACTGAACAGCCTTCACTTAGTCTGCCTTTATAACTGAAAAATAAGTGTCCACTCACCCTAGGAGAATGAGGATTCTTCTTTAGAAAACTAAACCAGAATAAACCTCCTTCAAGGAAAATGCCATCATTTGCTGATTCTTGCAATTAAAGATGAAAAAAAAAAATAGAGCAAAAAGAAAACAGAGGAATCAATTATCAATAATTTAAACCTCCCACTGAGTGGCTCGGTTGGTTAAAAATCGGATTCTTGATTTCAGCTCAGGTCATGATCTCAGGGTCCTGGGATCAAGCCCCACATCAGGCTCCATATTCAGCAGTGGTCTGCTTATGGATTCTCTCTTCCCCTCCTGCCCCTCCCCTCGCTAGCACATGTGCAATCTCTCTAAAATAAATAACTACGTCTTTAATAACTAAATAAACAAATTTCCCGGAACTAGTAAAGTACTTAAGTTTTTAGATTGAAAGAGTCCAACACAAAGCATATCATCAAATTTGAGAACACCAGGATTAAACAGATTACAAAAGCTCCCAAAGAGAGAGAGAAAAAAAAAAGGATCTCATACAAAAACTGGGAAAGCAGACATCAGATTTATTAAGGGCAACACTAAACTAGAGAACTTTCAAATTTGAAAGAATTCCAACTAGAATTCTATACCTACTGATATTAGCAATCATGTATGAGGGGAGAAAAAAGGTATTTTTCAGATTCATAATAACTTAAATATTTACCTCCCAGGTTCCCTTATTTAGAGATCTACTAAAAGATGTACTCCAACAAAACAATGAAGTGAACCAAAAATAATTAAGGGCACGATATCCAGGAAAACAGGGACCCAACAAAGAAGAGTAGCTAAGGAAGTCCGAGAATAGCAGCTGTGCAAGAAGCCTAGAAAGCAAGTCCAGATTGGGATTGGGAAGAGGGCTCCAGGAAGGAGTCTTCAGGATAAAGAATGGATAGTACTATATTTGAGCATATGAAAATTATTACTGATAGCATGGAGCAGAGATGTGGAGCATTTAGAAAAAAATTAACTACAAATAAACAGAAAGCCAGGGGCATAACAATGTAATAGTCTTACCTGAACTGTACGCCCTGCATTGATATGTTCTTCATGCAACTTGTCCCAGATTCTGCACCTTTGATACTATATCAAAAAGACAAAATTACAGTTTTTTTTTAAATTACTAAACTTATTACTCCTAGTTACCACAAAAATCTCCACTCACCTAACCAAACTTAAATATACCAGATAAAAGTTATTGACTTAATAGTGACAATTAACTGTCCAATGACAAGTAGGAAATTTTAAAAAACATTACAGACAAAATTCTGGCAAATGGTAAAGGAAATAAAAATAATTTATTTTACTGAAAAAAGATGGTATACTTTGTCTTGCAAATTCTTTGGAGATGAAAAAAATAATGAGAATGTAAACAAATATGAAAAATTTAAAAATTCAGTATATCATGAGGTATTCTTACTATATATGAAGAAATTTAAGTTTGTCAATGAGAATGTCAAGTATTAAAAACTAAATCTGACTTTGAGAAAAAGTAACATTGATACTGTAGACTAGAAAGTACAAAAAATGAGAATGAACATCTAATATACATGTTTCAGTTTTACCAAAGCAATGTTTAGCTTTCAGAGTTTCAACCAAGAAACTTTATAAGCATGATAATGGAAAATTCATTTGACAGGAACTATAGCAAAATGTGGTAACATACAGAACAACACTTACACAGAATATAAACATCAACATCAAACATCACATATTATATATAAAAAAAAAATCAACCTAGAAATACTGTGAAAGGACAGATACATGAAAATGTGCCATACAGGGGCACCTGGGTAGCTCAGTTGGTTAAGCATCCAACTCTTGATTTCAGCCATGATATCAGGGTCATTGGATCAAGCCCCACATCAGGCTCCACACTGAGAGTGAAGTCTGCTTAAGACTCTCTCCTTCTCCCTCTGCCCTTCCCCCCAAAAATAAATCAAATCTTTTCAAAAAAAATTTTTTTCTTATTTTTAAAATCTCTTTGAAAGAAATTCTGGGGCCCCTGGGTGGCTCAGTGGTTGAGTATCTGCCTTTGGCTTAGGTCATGATCCTGGGATTGAGTCCCCCATCAGGCTCCCCACAGGGAGCCTGCTTCTCCCTTATCTATGTCTCTCTCTCTGTCTCTCATGAATAAATAAATAAAATCTAAAAGAAAAAAAAAAAGAAAGAAAACTCTGTTGAGGGGCACCTGAGTAACTCAGTTGGTTCAGCCTCTGCCTTTGGCTCAGGTCATGATCCCGAGGTCCTGGGATTGAGCCCCATGTCAGGCTCTCTGCTCAGCAAGAAGCCTGCTTCTCTTTCTCTGTCTGCCTGTTCCACCACCACCTCCAAATCGTGCCCTCTCTCTCTCTATCTCTCTCAAATAAATAAAAAAACTAACAACAATGTATTGTTGGGCTAATAACATACATAAAAGCAAATTATATGACAATAATACTATAAAGACCTTGAGAGAGAAAATGGAAATATATTGTATATTTTTATAAGGTTATACAGCTTATGCATAAATGTATGTTACACTTCATGTGTAAGAACCTTATAATCATATGTGTGTATATATATATATATACATACATATATATACATATATATATATATATACACCAATGAGACTGATTAGATTTGATTTTGTATCATATAGTTTTGTGCTTCATACCTAAGCTGAACAGTCCATGCCACTCATTTTCATACTTAATTATATATCACCTATTATTCTCAGAATTTCATAATTTATTTCCTTAACTGAACTGTATACTTCTTGAGGATTAGAAATCTAACTTTTTATAAGCTTTTCAGTGCTAACAATAAAAGAAACACCAAACACTAACACTTAGGAAAAGCTAACATACATTTATTACTTGTAATTAATGACTTCTCATTATGCCTGGAAGATTGAACACAAGCATTTATCCCTGCTCTTTTCTAAAACCCAACTAAAATGGCAATAAAGAATTTTAAAAGGTATACATTCATAAGACTCATGAAAATACAACAGTAGATATCAGCTGACAATAAATTTTAACAAAATTTTAGAAGCTGGAAAGATTACAGACATGTTGCAACTGACTTAGATCTGAGAAAGCTGCACCATGAGGCTGCAGAAGGGGTGAGTGGCGTGGGAGAGGCAGTGAGTAACAAGCCAACAGGCACACCACCACTCCTGAAAGACTCAAGTAACCAGAACTACCAGCTACTCAGGAGGATGTGTAGGGTGGGGCAGAAGGACTGGTTTAAAGTTTAGGTAAAAAAGAGGTAGTCTACCAAACGCTCTATCTCTGTAGGCCTGAGCAACTACACTGCCCCGACCAACACAGAAGACCACATTCCAGAAGAGTATCTGGTGGTTCCCCATTAAAACAGACCTTTTACTGCTCACCCCTGCAGGTAACAAGACCCCACCTACCTCCTGCTACACACACAAATACCTTCCAATTAGCACTCTTAAATATCAACAGCTAGCCAAGGAATGCCCATAATACTGCAGGCTGACCCAAAGAAGAAAAGGAGGGAAAAAGGGGAGTGCGGGGGCAGAGAGAAAGAAATAAATTTGAAAGGGAAGAAAGAATAAAGACAGGGAAAAGAGACAAAGAAGTAGATAAAAACTTTAAAAATAATAATAAAACCACCAGAGAGATGCTATGATACTGCATCCATGAAACAAGAACAGGAGGATTCTCTTTAAGAGAAAAAAAAAAAGAGAGAGAGAAAAGAACAGAAAGAAAAAAGAACAAAAATATGATCTCCATTATTTTATCTTAGCTGGAATGTGGATGTAATAGCTGAAGTTGGAGCTGCTATTTACATGCAAGATAGAAACAAGTTGAGGATCAGAGAGCAAGATAAAAAGAGCCTGGGTCTTTAATGACTGCTGAGCTGCCACTGCAGCCCGGGAGTGCCTCTGTAACTATGAGAGATTAAAAATAAAAGCAAAAACAAAAAAAGTCTATCTGATTTAATACACTATTTTGGGGTTTTCTGCGACTTGTACTGTAGCGATATACTAACACAGTACATGCAACCAGTAGGTTTTCTCCTAACCCTACAATAACAGAGAAAATTATGCTCCAAGCATATGATCTTGTTTCTATTAACTACGCTTAAGCCTATCTTCCGTTAGCCCAGAAAACTGAATGCTAACACTTCAAATTTCAGCATTGCATTCTAATCAAGTCTATCATGTATAATAAAATGTAATGCTGAAGGACCTATGGAATACAGTTCCAGGTGTCCATAGCACACTACTCTCATTGTTTTCAGATGTTGCAGAATCACTCCCCTAAGGCTTACCTTCAATTTCCCTTCAGCATGACTTTCTTCTTTTAAATTCACATTGGATGACTGACGGCTAACATAATAAATATTTTATCTTTCTACACCCTTCCCTCAGGAAGAATATGGCTTTTTTTTAAAAGTGAGGCACTGTCAAACACCTGGAGTCCAAACCTAAGTTCTTAACTCTTTTGTCCACAGTGAACACAGCAACTTTTAAATATGCTTACATTACCACAAACTACTAAAATATGCTATTCAATCTTATATACATAAAAAGTCACTTTCATGGTAAAACTAGAAATCCTAGACAAAGTATAACAACCAAGAATATGGAATAAAACATAGATCAACATGAGCATGTTAGCTTCAGATATCATCTATATTGTAAATTATAATTATTCTGACATTGTCTAAAAATTTCACATTAAGTAAAAATTTCACAAAATGCTCAAAGAAAATGTTATGGCAGTGAAAGATCAACATAACTGGAATAATTTTCTTATGGCACAACTAATCAAATCAATAATAAATCCTTTCCTACTCCACCTGCCTGGTTCCCAGGGTTCTGACTTTTCCACTGATGACTGACCAGGTGGTACATGTGGCTATGATCTGAAGGTATGACTGCAGGCACTTTCATACAGAAGAAGTATAAGAAAAAGGAAATCTAAGACATGCTGAACCTCAAAGGTAATATAAGGCAATAAAGGAAAGAAATGGTCTTAATAGATTGTAGTCCACCTATGTCTGGCTTTCAGAATCAATTCAACTGCCAAATTCTAGTCTTCTTTGTAACTGAGCGCTTTGATACGAGCTCAGTCTTTAAAACACACCTTATCAATCTACCACCCAGATATGATCAACCAAGTAAACAACTCAATTTCTGTATCATTATAGTGCTAAAAGAACAAGCCCTCCTCATTAATAATCAAAGCACAGAGCCCTGTAATTTGTTTCTGCTCATGACAAGAATAACCGGTTTAACAGAAAACTCCTCCACCCTAAAAAGTCACAGTACTTATTGTTTACAAATAAAGAAAAACTTAAGAGATGACAAAATAGCAATCTTAAATTCTAGATAGCTTCATATTTGCATTAAAATTTTCATCTTAATACTCTTGGCACTTATTTTCTGTACTTTAAAAAAAAAGATTTTATTTATTTGAGAGACAGCAAGAGAGCACACAGGCAGCAGGGAGGGATAGAGGGAGAAGCAGACTCCCTGCCAAGCAGGGAGCCCAATGCGGGGCTCAATCCTAGGACCCTGAGATCATGACCTGAGCCAAATGCAGATGCTTAACCAACTAAACCACCCAGGTGCCCTATTTTCTATATATTTTTTAAAAGACTTAAATATTAGGAAGACAGATGGTATGTTCCGGGGAAAAAGAAGCTGACATTCTTAGTTGTATATCACCTCACTCAAGTGAGGGTGATAAATACTGTTTATACTAAAGGCTTAATGAGCATTTCCACCCCACCCCCACCACAAAAAAATAATGGAAGGTCATACAGCTTAAAATTTATACTGGGGGAAGTCTCTCTGAAGGAGCAAATCCCACTGACCTGTCCTACAGCAAATAAAAAATATAATCTGCCGCATCAATGCTCAGTACCCAGTAAACCTGATGTTCCCGTGAATGCCGCACCTGTTCCACCAAATGCTGGGATTCCAGGTTCTATGCAACCTTCACCATGGTCCATAAGACTAGCTCTTCCCTCTACCTGTTTTCTAAATGGACCCCTAGGTGGTTATTTCCCAATTTGGGGCTTTCCTCAAAGGGAAGAAGTCAATTTGGGAAATTCCCTCATATCGCATGATGATTTATCTTTTTACTCCAAGTGCACCTGAAGAAGACAGGAGTTACTGATGAACACCAAAGTTCAAAAGCCTTGCCATGGGGTGAATGAAATTAAGGCAGGTCTCTTTGCCAAAGTTCACTGCCTTCACATTATGGTGCATTATCAAACAATCTGTATGCTAATTATTAACTGCCTAATATGTCAGTATGTACAATCTAAAAGATATAGTTTCTATTCTTATATCCCTCCCTAAAAAAAGGAATAATATGAGGTGTATTTGTAAAATAAAACCCAGATGAAAAGAATGAATGTTGCTAAATTAATAGGAGATGGATGTTTTAGCAAAGCCTCTTACTTAATATTCTAAGTTTAGCTGAAATACATAAGTATAAATCAGAATTTGTAACTGTTTCTTTTTTTTTTTTTTAATTTTATTTATTTATTTATGTATGATAGTCACAGAGAGAGAGAGAGGCAGAGACACAGGCAGAGGGAGAAGCAGGCTCCATGCACCAGAAGCCCGATGTGGGATTCGATCCCGGGTCTCCAGGATCGCGCCCTGGGCCAAAGGCAGGCGCCAAACCGCTGCGCCACCCAGGGATCCCTTGTAACTGTTTCTTGTGGTAGAAAATGAAAAAAACTCACCTTCTCAATATTTATCTGGTGTTTTCTTAGCCTCTCCAAGTCTGTTGGTATTACTATCTTAATGAATTTCTGGATAGCTGGTTCAAGACGGCGTAATTTCACTTTTTCTTCATCTTCAGACATCCTAAAAAAATGTTGGGTCACTTCTACTGGCAGCAACTGTCTTCTATACTCAGATAGAAAAACCTAAGGGAAATATTTAAGAATGTTTTTAATCAGTTGCTGTTATTTTTAAAAACCAACAATTAGGTAATTTTATAACTTATTCTAAATATATATATATATTTCAACTTAATTCTGGACTTGAATGACTTAAGAAACATTTTGAAACCTTCTTTCTACAGATGTATACACAATCTAAAAAGTTTAAAAAAATAAAAAATAAAATGTTTAGAAAACATGAAAAAGAGGATAAAATAAAATCAATCACCTCCTCACCTGTAGCTAACTATTCTTTCCATTCTGATGTATGTCTTTCCAGGTTTTTCTCAAAATAAGAATGTATACACTTAAATACCTTTTTAAAATTTTTAAATGATGAGTTTACTGTCCAGGTTTTCATTTCCCAATGTATCTTGGACAATGACTAATCTTTTTTAAAAAGACAGCAAATAGCAAAATAAGAAAACATTTCATTCTTAACATTTCTGCTTGTGTAAATTCCATTTCTAACCTCATAGTGTAATACTTCATAATTATATACTTCAAATATAACATCATATGCAACTCTTCTCACTGACATCCTTTAAACTGCCTCTTCCCTTTCTTACAAAGTGATTATTTGCATCGTCAACAACCAATACAAATAACCAGTGACAGAGCTGGAATAAGAACTCAGGGTTCCTGGGAGTGCAATCAAATGCACTTTCAAATTCACCAACAGTTTTCTAGCAGTGTTCCAGAATGTCCAAGGCTATGCCTCTGGGGCCAGGAGAGGTGAGGGTGGAAAGTAGCAAGCAAGCAGTCTCCAGGACCCCATGCCTGCTTCAGTTGGAGAAAATTTACTTCTATCTATTTCATAAATTTGAACTTGTTAGATTTTACATCATTAAGGGCTTCACTGCCTAACTAAGCTTCAAAACCACTATTATGCAACCTTGCTTTCACGCCATCTCGTTAGCCCACAACCTCTCCTATATTTAAACAATTTTTTTGACTATGTCAATCCAATAGGTTATGGTGTCTTAAACCAGGATCCATTCAGAGGTTTGCAAATATACTTTTTGGAGTCCCTGAATCTTTATGAGTAATTGTGAATGTATTCTTGAGTTATTTCAGAGGACAGTCCATTGCTTTTATGATATGAAAAATAGAAAAGAGATCACTGCAGAACCATGAGGAACTGTAACTCTAACTAATGTTTCTTTCTTTCAATTGAAAATCTTTAAGTGTTGGTTATACATATCTCATCAACTTAGTAACTTGGTCTTTATGTTTAAGCTTGAAAGCAAAAAAGGGTAATCTCCACACACCAAAAATAAAAAGAGTTCAACAGCTACACTATTGAGTAGGAACTGGATACACATGGAGAAGTTCATTGCCAAGAGTCCACAAACCCAGCAAAACAGGAAAATTCATAGCTAATGGACTAGAGATAAAAATCTAAAAAGAAAATTAAAATAGGTAAGTTAAAAACATTCAAAGATATAAAGGAAGGAATAGAATCCTTTTAAAAATTAGATAGTACTATGAAATAGTAGCAGGCTAATCTGAAAAATCGAGTACAAATTAGAGAAAAACCTCAAAAATAGGTTAAACAATAAACTGTAACTGAAGGGAGAATTATTGATTGGAAGATATCAGTCAGAACACAGAGGAATAAAGAGATAGAAAACATAAAAGATAAAGTGGGAAGCTCAATAACAAATAGGAGTCCCAAAAGGGAAGAATAAAGAAAGTGGTGAAAAGGCATTATTCAAAGTGAACATGCTGAGAATTAAGATGCAAGACCTCAAACTGAAAATGCACATAAGCCTCAAGTAGCATAAATTAAAAAAAAAAAAAATTACCGACACATGGAAGCAAAACTGCAGAATGTGAAGGGCAAACAAAAAAAAATCTTTAAAAAAGAAAACCAAAGATAAACTAAAGCAACAAAAGCAGCAAACTTCTCATCAAAGATATCAAAAGACAGGAATATCCTCGAAGTGCTGAGGGAGTTGGTATATGCCCCAGTAAATTACTATTCAGAAGTGAACGCAAAATAATTTTTAGACATACAGAGTTCAAAACCAAGGCCCCTCATTAAAAGAACTACTAAAAGGCACACTTTAGCAAAATCTAAAGGAGATGAATGCCAAGGAGCTATGAATATAATATAATATACTGTTACTGGGTGGATAAATGAATGAAAGAAAGGATTTATTTTGAATATTCTGATTAAGTATAATAAAAATCTTTACATGTAAATTATTATTTTTCTATAATACATTTTTATAGCAGCATAGTGGTATTTTACATAGACGCTCCATAATTTAACTAATCTATTGTTGACTGCTTAGGTTGTCCCCAATTTTCCACTATTATAAACTACGCTAAAGTGTAATTTTTTTTTTAAATTTTTATTTATTTATTTATTTATGATAGCCACAGAGGGAGAGAGAGAGAGAGGCGCAGAGACATAGGCAGAGGGAGAAGCAGGCTCCATGCACCGGGAGCCTGATGTGGGATTCGATCCTGGGTCTCCAGGATCGCGCCCTGGGCCAAAGGCAGGCGCCAAACCGCTGCGCCACCCAGGGATCCCTAAAGTGTAATTTTTATATATAAATCCATATAACCATCTATGATGTTTCTTCAAAATAAATAATTAGAAATTGAATAGGTACACACATTTTTATGGCTTTTGAGACCAAGTGTCCCAAAAGGTTGTACCTGTTTACATTCCTGTTTACATTCACTAGCAACATATCAAAATATCCAAATATCCATATTCCCACCAATACATAGTACTATATTCTCCTTAAACTTTCAAAAATGGTGTCTCATTGTTTTATTTTGCATTCCTTAAATTACTGGTGGCATTGATTTATTAGCCATTTGCTTTCTTCTTACGAATTGCCTGCTGGTGCTGTATCTATTTTACTACAGGGGATGTCTTTTTCTTATTATATTCAACATATAATAGACTCATAAATTACCGATTGCCTCACAATGTTCCCAGTTTATCACATTGCTTGTATTTTTTTCTGTCATGCAGATTATATACTATATGAAGACACCTTTTTATCCACCACCATTCTTTTTTTTTTTTTTAACAATACTGGTTCTCAAAAGTTGCTGATGGAACTAAAATATTTCTTCACATGTCCCTTCTTCACTATTACTAATCCCATCACTCTAACAGTGCAATGCACAGCACCTTACAAGTGTCTTAATTGGCCTCCCTTTAAACTCTTTCCCCTCTCCAATTGTTCCTCACAGATTACCACCAATTAATATTCCTAGAACACCAATTGCAACGTTCTCCTCTGAACAAAAACTTCCAAGAATTCCCTATTCCTATTCCCTATTATTTGAACAAGAAAATACAATGTTCAATCTAAGTATTATCACCCAATTTCTACTTTGGGCTTTGCTATGATGCTCCCTCTGTTTAGATGCCCTTTTATATCCCATCTGCCTCTAAAATTTATGTATCATTTTATATACAACTCTAATGATTCTCCTTTCTCCTCCACTAATCAGTTTATAGTATATGTAACAAACCCCGATTATTGGATGTTTGACTTGACACTGTTTCCTTATGCTACGATGACAGATTTTTTCCAGTTCCAGAAGTGATATTTCTAGGTCAGAGTTACACATGATTCTGCTCTTCAGCTTTCTATCCAAGGAAAACCAACCGCCTCATAAAGACCACTATCAGGGAAGACATTCCACCCCAGGAATCTCCCAACATACATTTCCAATTCTTGTTCTCCTTTTGGCCGGTATTTTTTTTCTCTTCTCCATCATTTCCATTTTTTATAAATTACAACAAAATGTCTACAGAAACTAAAATGAGAACATATTGTTCAAATAATTGCTTAAGTCATGATGTTACTGGGATACCTGGGTGGCTCAGCGGTTTGGTGCCTGCCTTCAGCCCAGAGCGTGATCCTGGAGACCCAGGATCAAGTCCCACATCGGGCTCCCTGCATGGAGCCTGCTTCTCTGTCTCTCTCTCTCTCTCTCTTTCTGTATCTCTCATGAATAAATAAATCACATCTTTAAAAAAAGTCATGATGTTACTGAAAGGGAAAGTTGTCCAGCAGTGGCTCCAATCATAAAATAGCAGAAATATAGTTTGTAAGTTGTTAAAGTATAATCCAACATTCAAGACATAGTTTTAAAATAAAATTGAACAAGTAAATATATTTCACCATTTCTCGATTTTTCAAAAAACTGGAACATACTTCTGATAATTAAATGACAAAAATAAAAAATACATTTACATTAACTTCACAACTGTGTAAAATATGCTTATGAAAAAGACAAAACATAGAAAAATGCCTAATTTTCCAAACTTTTGTAGAGTTGATTTCTTTGTAACATTTTTTTAAGTGTAATGAAATATTTGGGGTGATAGTTGTTTTATATCATGACAGTGGTGGTAGATACACAATTATATGCATTTGTCAAAACTCATGGAATTGCACATTACAAAGAATGAATTTTTGAAAATTAAAAAACAAAAAAATGTGGAGGAATACAAAATGGAACACAAACCATAAGAAAGGAAACTATATTATCAATGAATAGCATAACCGCACTGAAAGTAGAGGAAGAAAATAACCTAAGTAACTCTGGAAAACACTATTCTAACTGGATACTACAAGGTTAAAGACCATAAGAACTATATACGATTCTACTATGTTCTAATTAGAAAATTTATTTTTTATAGGATTATGTGTTAGAAATCCTGAAAATCCTTTATGTGTATACCAGGACTGAACAAATAAGAGAATATTTTGTAGAGCATGAAAGTCATATTTCTGTCAAAGAAAGAAGTAACAATTAAGAGGCATGAGTAGAATGAACCCTGTGGTTTAGGTTTACAAATGGAGCTCTCAGAAAGAATTTTTGTTTTTTTAAAAATATATATACTCAGATGTGAGTACATATACACACTTAAATACAAAAACAAATCTTTGTGTATCCATGGAATATGTGGATATATATGTATATAGCTAAGAAACATATATTTACAAATAAACATAACAAACGATATAAATAAAATATAATACTTAATATTTCATAATTACATAAGTAATAAATAGAATGATATATTTTATTTATATATAAAGGAAAAATACTTATAAAAATAAAATATATATTTACATATATTCCTAGCTGTTTTCTGCGAAGAACCACAAACAATAATATTCTAGTAGCAACGAGCACACCAAGTGCCCTGACCTTGGTGTTTAAATACCACTGTCCAAAAGAGGAAATCACGGATCCTTGGAGAAGTGGGTGATCCAGGACTGGGGCAGAGAAAACGCAAGATAAACGTGGAACATCTTATGGTGCCAGAAAGTAAGGAAGTTCTCAAAGAGTGATGGAAGCCTGTCAAAAGGAAGCAACCTGAAAAAACTCCCAAGGGCCAAGGCTGGAACAACTTGAGACATGAATAAATAACAAAAATAACCAAAAAGTAAAATAAATGAGTTCATACTTACATAAAAAAATAACTGACTAAACAAATGGAAAGGAGCAAGTCTTCCTTACAGAACTCCAATTAATAAAAGAAGGAATGGGGACGCATGGGTGGCTCAGCGGTTGAGTGCCTGCCTTTGGCTCAGGGTGTGATCCCGGGATCTGGGATCGAGTCCCACATCAGGCTCCCTGCCTGGAGCCTGCTTCTCCCTCTGCCTGTGTCTCTGCTTCTCTCTCTCTCTCTCTGTGTCTCTTGTTAATAAATAAATAAAATCTTAAATAAAAAAATAAAAGAAGGAATGAGGGGAAACAAAAAATCACCATTAGAACATAATAGTAATCATCGCTGAAGGCAAGATCCACCAATGGATGGTAAAATCAGCAACTGAAAGTTTGAGGAGAAACAACATATTTGCATAGTTTAGAAACTCAAGATATCCATTCATTTCAAGGGGAAAGCAGTAAATTGACATTACAGAATCCTGGCAGACACCACGTCAACCAAGTGATCAACAGTAATACCAAAAGCAGTGTGTCATAACATGAACCATTCGTGGGATGGACTGAGAAGGGTACATCCACTTCTGTGGTATCAACAGAAATGCGTAACTTTAAAAATGCATAACTTTAATTGTAAGAAAATGCCAGACAAGGGGCAGCCCGGGTGGCTCAGCGGTTTAGCGCTGCCTTCAGCCCAGGGCCTGATCCTAGAGACCCGGGGGGTCGAGTCCCACGTTGGGCTCCTTGCATGGAGCCTGCTTCTCCCTCTGCCTCTCTCTCTCTCTGTGTGTGTGTGTGTGTATGTCTCATGAATAAGTAAATAAAATCTTTAAAAAAAAAAAAAAAGAAAGAAAATACCAGACAAAACATAACTGAGGGACACTCTGCTAAATAATTGACCAGGATTCTTCAAAAGTGTTAAGGTTAGGAAAGACTCTTAAGACTAAAGAGCCATGCCAATTAAATGCAATGTGGGATGTTATACTGGATGCTGAAATAGGGGTGGGGGAAAAAAGGACATTAGTATAAAAAAGTCAGGAAATCTGAGAAAAAGGTAGCAATTTGGTCACTAGAATTGTACCAACGAGGGGCGCCTGGGTGGCTCAGAGTCTGCCTTTGACTCAGGTTGTCGTCCTGGTGTCCTGGGATCAAATCCGGCGGGAGCCTTGCTATTTCCCTCTGCCTGTCTGTGTGTCTCTCATGAATAAATAAAATCTTAAAAAAAAAAAATCGTACCAATGATACTTTATAATTTTTTATGATTGTACTTATGGTTATATAAGGTGTTAACCTTAAAGGGGGCTGCAGAGACCTTTGTTACTTTTGCCACTTCTCTGTAACTGGAAAATCATTTCAAAAATAAATTTCACCGGAAACGGGTCACTTAGAAGACCTGCACTGACAACCGCGGGGCCTGGGGGGCAGGTGCTCTACCAACGACCCTTTTCGGGGCTTGCGACTACTATCATCACTTGGGTACCATGACTACTCCAGTTTCCCGTGAGGAAAAAGTACTGGGGCGGGGGGGGGGGTTACTACATGATTTAGACTCTTTAATGTATAAGTTAAAAAGCCCCATTTCTCAGAAAAAGTCCCCAAGTGCCAGAGACCTTCGGCCTCCCCCAAAGCGACGAGCGGCCGCCTCCCAGCGCAGGGATCCCACATGGGCCCCAGGCAGGCCTCGCCGAGCTCCTGACCCGGGGACTCTGGAAGGCAAGGTCACGGCCCCTGCTGCTCCCTGGGTCTCCCGCCTGAGCCCTCCCAGGCCGGGCTTATCGAGGGGGCAGCTGCGGGAGCTTCCAGAAGCACCGACCTCCGGCTCCGGCTCGGGCTCCGGGTCCTCCGCCCCTCGCGGGCCCCCGAGCCCCACGGCGCCCCCCCCCCACCGCCCCAACCAGAGAACGGATGCGCGGGCGGCCTGGGACCACGCCCCCGGGCGACCCGGGCGACCCCGACGCCCCCGGGCCCAGCCTGCGCCGCGGGCACGGCAGCTGCAGGGAACTTTCGCACCCCGCGACCCCGGGAGGCCGCCTCCCCACACCGGCTTCGCAAAGAGCTTCCAGAAACGAAACCGGCGCTTCGGGAAGCCCGGAGGAGCCTCCCAGGCGCTGGCACGCGGGACCTGAGGCCGGGCTTCCCCAGGGGGCGCCTCTGCGGCGCGCGGGCTCAGCGCCCAGCCCTCAAAGCCCGTCCGGGCCTGACGCCCCCGAGGCGGCCTCCCGCAAACCCCTTACCTCCCGCCGGGGCGCTCGAGGCCTCTGGGTGTGCACGGCGCAAGCGCGGGCGCGACGGGGCGGGGCGTCGCCAGGGGGCGGGGCGTCGCGATGGGCGGGGCGGTCCGGGCCACGCCCCCTCCCGGCCCCCAGGAGCCCTGCCGGGTGGGGCCGCCAACGCCGTGACGGCTGCCGGCCGCGGGGAGGATTTCAGAAAGTGGGCTTGGCGTCTGTTTGCGGGGTTGCAGCCCTGGAGCCAGGAGGAGGGAGACCTACAATCACCTCTTAGGTCTGCTTGTTGTCTTTTCAGTAGGACGTAATTCACACACGCATAGCTTTCTACATTTTTGCAAAGTTTGCTGTCTGTTTTCCTGTTTATTTTTTTTATTTTTTAAGATTTTATTTATTTATTCATGAGAGACACAGAGACAAAAGGAGGCAGAGACACAGGCAGAGGGGGAAGCAGGCTCCATGCAGGGAGCCTGACGTGGGGATCGATCCCGGGTCTCCAGGATCAGGCCCTGGGCTGAAGGCGGTGCTAAACCACTGAGCCACCCGGGCTGCCCCGTTTTCCTGTTTAAACAGGAATTTTATGGGCAGGCTGGCCGTGCATTCTGAGCTTTTTACACATGCAGAAAACTGAAGCTCCGAAAGGTTGTGCCTTCTCTCATTTACCCCCCCCCCCCAAAAAAAAAAAAAAAAAAAAGAAAACCTCCTGAGATGGACAGGACGCAAGTCTTAACAACTGGTAACAGGTGCAGAAATTGAAGCTCAGATGAGTTGTGATTTTCCTTCCATCAAAGCCGGGGGAGACCATGCTACTGTCCTTATCCCAATTTTATAGATCATGACGCTGAGGTTAAACAAAGAGTTTTAAGTGACTCACTCAGTTCAGCTACTTAGTGACAGAGCTGGGAACTCCACTGGGTTTCCTAATTTCCCTCGCAAGCTCTTCCAGTTACCAGCTGCTACCAATGACCAAGCAGATGGCTGGCTTTGAAGCTCTGTCCGGGTCCCATGACCTAACTTCCAGACCCAGCCTTTCTTATGTGTTTGTGAATGTTCAGATGACCTGTCTAGAATGTGTCCCCTGACAATATTATCCTCAGACGGTCATCAGGATGTTCAGGCCACAGCTCAGGAAACTCAGGTCTTAAGGTCTCCCAAGTGAGTGGGAGAAGAGGTGGAGATTATAGACAAAAGAAAATTAGAGGCCTGTTAGAAAGCCTTGATAGGCAATTTCTAACCTAAAGAAAAACAAAACAAATCTAAGCAACTTGGAGATTCTTTGTGGGTGTAATGAAGGTTGTTGTTTGTTTTATTCTGGAAATAAAAGGATTTGGAATTTTTGATTTTAATAAGAGAAATATTAAAGTATTAGGCCATGCCATGGGAAAATGTTTTTCATGCAAGGGTCACTTAAGCAAATCTTTTGAAATGAAGGTCATTCAAAATAAGTTCTAAAAACCTGCCTCAACCACTGTAGGGAGACGTGGCACTCAAGGACTCTAAATTTGAACCTAGCCTTCTGGACTGTTATATGTATGTTTGCTATAACTGAGGTGTGTCAAGGTAGCAGGATAAGGCTTTTTAATCTAAGAGCTTGTTAGCTTGATTTATAATCTCTAAATATTTAAACATACAGTGTGTGGAACTCTTTGTGTTCATGCCTGGGAGCCCTGAAGTTGTCAGGGCAGGCCTACTGCTACTAGCCAACATTTTCCCCAAGTTCTAACTGACACAGGAAAGAAAAACAAAATAAAACAGTAAATATATATACATTTATATGAAAGAAAAAGGTTAAAAAAATCTTTTGAGATATTAGAATTGCTTACTTGGAACATCCACAGGAATGAACTGAATTGAAACAAAGCTTAATAAGGTAGCTAGAGAAATAGCTTTCCTAAATTTCCAATTTTAAAATGTAGCAGGAGAAAAGACCACATTCAAAAATAGTAGAATCCAGTTTGTGTTTATAAGGAATTACAGGACCTATTTGAAGAATTAAGAATAATACCTATATGGGGTGAGGGCAGAGGGAAGGATTATAAAGGGGCATGTGGAAACTTTGGGGTGATAGATATATTCATTATCTTTATTATGGTACTAGTTGCTTGGGTTTATACATATATCAAATTGTACATATTACCAAATTGTACATTTATTTTTAATACATTTTTTACAAGATTTATTTGAAAGAAAGAGTGCTCACACAAGCAGGGGAGGAACAGAGGGAGAGGGAGAGAATCTCAGGACTCCCTGCTGAGTGTGGAGCTCAATCTCATGACCCTGAGATCAAAACCTGAGCTGAAACCAAGAGTTGGTCACTTAACCAACTGAGTCACCCAGGAGCCCCTAAATTATACACTTTAAATCAGAGTATATGTGTTGATTGAATCAGTCATATCTGAATAAAGCTGTTTCTTGAGAAAACATATCTATTATTATTTTCTTAGAACCTAGCACAGTTCTTGGAACATGAAAACATTTTGAAAACTAAGAAAATAATATACACTCACTATATGAATTAAGAATTTTTTTTTTTTTAGTATCACCGAGCAAGTATGTGGAGAACCTGACAATCAAATTTAGATTTGGCACAGTAATATACACTTCTGAGGTTAGCGTCCCAGCCCAGTCCTTCTTTGGGAACTGACTCTCCCGCCAGGTCCACATGCCTCAGGTATGAGCCTCTGGCAGCCATTTTGTACAAACCTGAACCCATGCACCTGACCACAGAGAAATGGTCCAGGAGCAGACACCTGACTCAAGCTGGGACAATAAGATACCTTCCCCAGGAATTTGGGATTGGGGCTAGGATTACAGCCTCAGGCTCACTGGTTTCTTGAAAGGAGAAGGTGCTTACAGCAGAGCGCTTAGTGGCTTTTTTTCTCTCCATAGACTTCTATATCAGAGGAAGCCATGCTGCTCTTAGATTCCATTTGTAATTGTGGAGAGATGAGTATAGGTATGTCTCCTACTTCATGATGTTAAAAACGTTTTTTGTTTTGGTTTTTGGCTTGTTTTATTTTATTTTTTTTTTACCCCAGGTCATATTTGAAAGACATTTAAAGATTTTATTTATTTCAGAGAGAGAGAGAGAAAAAAAAATGAGCATGAGTGGAGGAGGGGCAGAGCGAGAGAAAGAAGCAGACTCCCCACTGAGCAGGGAGCCCAGCATAGGGCTTGATCCCAGGACCCTGGGATTGTGACCTGAGCCAAAGGCAGGTGCTTAATCAACCGAGCCACCCAGGAGGCCTTCAAAAAACATTTAAAAGCCACTACTCCCACCAGGTTCTTTCTTGAGCTATGAATTATTAAAATATCTGTTGCAATTCTGAATGCATTCTATTTTTTGGTGCATTCTGTCATTACAACCATCCTGAGAACTGAGATGAAGAAAGATTGAAAATACAGTGGTAATAATGGTTACCTTTGGGATGGCATTAACTGGGAGAGGGCATAAAGGAGCTTTCTAGGGTGCTGGAAATGTTTTATATATTGACATGGTGTGATTACATACGTGAAAATTCATCAAGCCGTACACCTAAGATCTATGTACTTTATGTAAGTTATCCCACAATAAAAAAGGAAAGTAAATAAAGAGCTAGCAATTCTTGTTTTAAAACAAACAAAGCCTCTTAGTAAACAAGGAAATAGATACTTCCTTAATATTATTTCTATTACCTCTCTCTGAGATAGAGGTGAATTAGCAACAGTAATCCCTACCCTTGTTAAAGCCCTTTATTCCCTTTGAAAATAAAATAAAAAACCATGAAAGAGATAGGGAAGGGAGGTGAAAATACTTAGATATAGGAAAAAGAAATAGAGTTTGGAAAACATTTAAATCCCTGGTTCCACCAATTGACTTTAGTACTTAAATGTCTACTTTCTGCTTACTGTCCCCTCCCACCACACACACACACACACACACACACACACACACACACACCTGTCATCAGCCTGTCATGTATATTACCATTATAGAGATCTTGTATCAAACCAAAAGGAGTAAACTCTGTGGGCATACAGTAACGCTGTTAATCCTCTACTCATCACCCATCCACCATTTAGGAATTTGATAATCATTTTACATGTAGATATCTTCAATGCCCAGACATCTACCTAGAAACTCTCCTACCCACCCCATTTTTTGTTCTTTTAATTACTTTAATTATCTTCAAAACTTGGTGTGCCCAAGAATTATTGCATAAGGTAGTATTTATAAAACTTATCATGCTTGATGGACCTTATAGGCAATTTAAACAATTTCAAGGGTAATCTTGACTCTAATTTTGCTTTATTCACTGACTTTAATTCCTATAGCCACACCTCTCACTATCCAACTCACCCTCCAAATATGCAAGTTTCTATTTGTAATGAAATGTAAATGAATCATATTAAATGTCATTTAAACTTCAGCAATTTGCAAGGTACCTTGGATTTTATAGTACCTTAGTTACTATTATCATGAATGTCAGTTAATATCACATGGTAGATGAAGGACCTGAGTGGCTCAATAAGTGTCTAGCTCTTGATTTCAGCTCGGGTCAACAATCTCAGGGTAATGAAGCTGAGCCCCACATTGGCTCTGCACTGGAGGTAGAGGCTGCTTAAGATTCTCTCTTTCTGGCCCCCCCTCGGGGTGGGTCCTGTCTTTAACCCTCTAGTGGGTCCCGGTGGAGGAATGCGGGACTCTAAGTGCCCCTGGAGACCGGGACGACGGGATGATGGATGAGTCTAATAAAGAACAAGCTTTAGACAACCAAACAGTTGGAAAGACATCATCATAAACAGTCTATACTAGATCACAGCTGATAATATGGACAAGATAAAAAAGTGTAGCAAAAATGAAAAGATAAAACAAAGGCATCTTACATAATAATATAGAGGAAGATACTATCTAACTATAAACTCTCTATAAAGTATATGGATGAAGATCCCACCCCAGGCTCAGAATTGAGGAAAAAAACAAACAACTGTATTCTCAAAGGCATGGCTCCATTTTTTTGCCCATTTGATGCCCCAAACCCCTCATAAAGAAGTTCAAGCAATTGTACAGGAA